GGCAACTTTAAGGGTCTAAGGGGGCGTCTAGGGCAAACGTATATTTTGCCCATGGGTAAGGAGAGAGTCCTTAGGCTGTGTAAGTGCCAAGTCACAGCTTTCTCTCTTCCTTCCTGGCAGGCTGAACAAAAGAGTAAAGGAAATAAAAGTAGGTAAGTGTGTGCAAGTTGGGAGGGGAGCACAAGTGAACCTGTTGCTTGCCCTGAATGGGTAAAGCATAGATTCATTTTAAATATAAATTAATTTAAATATCTAAGATACGAACATGAGTGAAAGCTTAATACAGAATTTTACTCCTGTATTTAAAGCTGAACTCCAAGATAAGCAACTATTGTCAAAAATCAAAAGACGTCAAAAGACGTGTATTCTTCTTGGGTGGAATTTGTGTACTTTTTTGTTCTGTGCAGTAATTGTGTGCAACTTTGCTTCTGTGCAGGAACTTCCTGTAATAAAGACTGGTCAGTGCTGATCTCTCTCCTTGTGCAGGGGAACTGGTCTTGTCTCAGCCCCCTTCTGTAGTTTTCTGCAGAAATCCTGTAGTTGGTGAAGCTCCTGAGTCCCTCCCACAACTCTGCTTTCTGCTCAGGCTATATGCAGCATAGCAATGATGTCACTGCTACTTTTACAAGGTAGTAACTAGGTTGCAAAGGCATTTAGTGCACACAAAGTGCCGTTGTATCCTTTGTGGCTATTGAGGAATATAATAAATTAAAGTTTTTGTGTACATAGTTCATCTTTAACCACCTACCGTCCGGCTCTTGTTTATAAATGGCCGGATGGTGGCACTGCAGGGTCCGGTGGCCATTTATAATTGGCCTCCCTGCAACCTGCTTGTGTGCGCTCCCTGGGAGCGCGCAGAACCGCGATCCGGTGCCCACTGTGTCCTCCGGACTCTGTACGAGGTCCCGATCATGTGATCACTGATTGGCCAATCAGTGATCACATGCAAAGTAGTAAGAAAGATGTCACTTGTGACATCATTGCTTACTACGTGTGAAATCTGTGAATAATCACAGAGGTCACATGGTACAAGGCTATTCACAACAGCCTTGTACCATGTGACAAGCTGTGACCAATCACAGCTCACTCAGTAGTTCTCAATGGCTGCAAGAATGCAGACAGGGAGAAAGAGAAATGATTGCTTTTACATCCTATATGGATGTAAAAGCAATCAGTGTAAAAAAAAAAAATATTCCTCACCCCCCACAAGTAGTACAGTGTCACCATGACAGATGCAGATGCAAAGCCTGCATGAAAATACAAGTTTATTTGTACTTATTCGTATCCTAATGCTGAGAGCCATACATCAAACTGGGACCGCCATAAGTGCAGTATTCGTCAAGGGTGGGTGAATTGGGATGATGCTACCCTGGTATTCATCTGGGTACAGTTCACACAACAGGCCTGAATTTCGTTTGTGTTTTTAAGGCCTCATTTCACACCTGAGTGTTTTGTAGCTTGATGCTCCAAAATGCTCAACATACAAAACCCCATAGTGTTCAGTGCTGCCTGTTTGTACCTGAGAGTAACATCATTTGAAGCTTGTACCTCAAAGTACATGAGCCTATTTTAAGCTACAAGCTTCATGCATTTTTGGTCTCAACAGACTTCAATAAAACTACCTAAAAAGCATACAAACACATGCAAAAAAAACTTTTTTCCCTAGTAGGAAAGAAGACTTAGTCAAAGATCTTCATTCAGCAAATAATTTTGCTGTAAATATACTAACTCATCTGTACAGTTATAGTCAGAACTGTGGTTCCCTTGCCACTATGTTACTACCATGTCCTGTAGGGATGTAGCAGCCAGCCCCACAGCGCACAGCGAGGAATACAGATGTATGACAATCCCAGGGGTATGTCAGATGCTAAGAATTTTTCAGCCACCAGCTCTGCAAAACACCAAGACAGAATTCACCATCCACTTGATTCTTAGCTGTTAATAATCTACTTTTGCAGGATGCCTTAAAAATTCTTCCAACAGAGCTGCTTTAATATAAAAATCTATGACTGACCAGGACAGCGAGCCTCACTCCTTTATTGTAATGAGCAGGCTCAGTAACCAATAGGAGAAAAAGGAGGTAGCAGAGAACAAACTATTCTTTAACTTGCATTTCCTTTTCATGAATGATTTTTTTCCATTGTGCCTTTAAACCTGCTAGAGAATTTGACTATGGCAGGAAGTTTCAATTTTTACCTCCCTCCTTCATTGCACATCATAGCTCCCTCCTCCTTTGGGAGTGTCTATTTATTGTTTTTGCTGACCCAGCTCCTTCACCCCTCCCTTCACCTGCCTACATAACCTTTTAGCGCAGTCATTATTAAATGGTGGACTGCGGGCCACAAACGGACCAAATGACAGTCCTATACAGACACTGACACTTAGCAGCCTGGATGTCCTCTGCATCGAATATCCTGTCCCCCCCGCTGCCACCACAGCATTCATCTTTATAGAAGATAGAAGGCACGGCATGTCCAGCCAGCAGGCGAGGGCTATCCAACTTTTCAAGTTAACAAGCCAGTGATTGGTTGCAAGGCAGGGTGGTTAAAAATCAATGATTCGGATTTTTTTGAATAAAATGCTTTTTGAGGAAAATATATTACCAGCCAAAGGTTATTCCATCATGAAATAAAGATTCGTTTTTTAATTATGTAGAATAAGGCTGTACATGTTTAATTTTTTTGGTAAATAAATTCCATGAATCCATTCACAATTCATGCTCTTCCAGAGGTTTTTGTAAGATTATTGGGCAGTTTCTCTGCCTACAAGATATTATCACAGATGCTTGGTTTACTTTCGCAGTTCTCAAAACTGAATTTGACTCAGCGGAGATCACATGCCTCTTCTTCACAGCAAAAATGTTATAACATGAACAGAGTTAAGAAAAAGATCTTAATCCTAACTTCTACAAACCTGTGAATACAGAATCAACCCCTTCAGTGCTAAATTTCAAGAAGTTCAGTGAATAGAATAGAAACAATATTTTTCTGATTGTTTGGAGTGGAATAGATCTGCACAAGAAGAAAGTGAAACTAAGTGTGAGGAGGAAGGGGCTGACAGTCTAAGTTTCTTAAAATATATATATTTTGTTTAGCAAAATTAGTTAACAAACATTGATGTTTAAGCAAATAACATATGCTGGAATGTTATTGTTTCAGATGAATAAATCTATTTAAATTGTTATTATTAAGGTAATGATTATTTTTCTCCTTCCTAAGTACAACAGAAAAGTTGTCCAAATATGAATGATTAACCTATTAAACTGGGGATAAAAAAACTAATATGAAAAGTTGTTATTCTAAAAATCTTCATCTACTTGCATATTAAAGTTATACCAGCAAGAATTAGTCTTTATGTAGAAAACTAGGATTTAAATCAAGCCTTACTGACTAGTGATTTAAATTGTGCTTTAAATCGTGATTTAAATCAGTTTGATTTAAATCAAATCCACCCTGGTGCTAGGCATTCCTAACAAGCAAACACCTACCTGTTAACATGAAAAGCTTGTCCAACATGTCCCACCCTCTGTCCAGGCATGTCATGCCTTTTGCCTTCTACCTGCTGTGTAAGGTAGGATCGAAAAGGAGGTTTGTGAATGGCAGGGGAAAAATGTAAGGAAGGGGGCATTCACACAAAGGGGACTGGGCTGCAAGGAAGGAAGGGGGGGGGGGGGCTGTGAAGGGAACCAGTATACAAAAAGGGGGTTGTAAAGGAGTCTGGGGGGTGCAAGTAAGGGGGATCTGTAAAGGGTACTGAGATGCAAGGAAGGGGGGCTGTGAAGTAGACTGGAGTGCTAGGAAGGGAGGCTGTGAAGTGAACTGGGGTGCAAGGAAGGAGGGCTGTAAAGGGAACTGGGGTGCAAGGTAGGGAGGAACTGTGAAGGGAACTGAGATGTAAGTAAGGAGGGGCTGTAAAGGAGACTGGGGTGCAAAAAGGAGGCTGTGAAGTGGACTGGAGTTCAAGCAAAGAGGTTTTTAAAGGGGACTGGGGTGCAAAGAAGAAGGGAGGAACTGTGAAGGGAACTGAGATGTAAGTAAGGAAGGGCCGTAAAAGGGACTGGGTGCAAAAAAGGGGGGCTGTGAAATGGATAGGGGTGCAAGGAAGGGGGGCTGTAAAGGGGACTGAGATGCAAATAAGGGGAGCTGTAAAGTGGACTTGGGTGAAAGGAAGGGGGGCTGTGATGGGGACTGGTATTTAGGTAAGGGGGCTGTGATGTAAAGGGGACACAGAGTACACGAGGAGGGGGACTGTGATGTGAGGTGGAGGCTGAGGACACTGATGTAAAGGTGGGGGGGGGGGGTTGTGATGTGAAGGGGAGACAAAGGACAGTTAAGTAAAGGAGGTGCTGTGATGCAAAATGGGGGGATTTGAATGCAAAGGGGGGCTGTGATGTAAAGCAGGTACTGTAACGTAAAGGGGGGTGCTGTGATGTAAAGAGGGGGTTCAGCAATTTTAAAGGGGGTACTGTGGTATAAAGGGGGCACTGTGATGTGAACGAAGAGGGCTGTGATGTAAAGGGGAAACTGTACACTGTACTGTAAGGGGGGGGGGGGCTGTGAAATGAAGAACCCGAGTCATAGCACAAACATGAGGCTTGGACCTCTCCTGGATGAAAATGTTAATGACCAGACCTCCGTGAATTTTAATTCAATTTCCCTTTTTTAAAGAGAATGTGAATACTATAGAGTGTCACCTGTGAGTCTGCTAGAGTTGGATTCAGAACCCAACGGTTGTCTCAGGGTTTTTGGATATCAACACAAGGAAGGTTTTTACAGGTAAATAACTATAAAATATATTAAATGCACTAATAATCTTGTTCATACAAAAGATCTGGTGACAGGTTCTCATTAAGAGTTATAGTGATTTTGTAGTGACCAATTTGCTCCTACCTATGAACACCTAGATATATAGTTATAAAATTATAAAAAAATATGTAATTTTTCCTTCTTTGCCATAATTCATTAGGTTATTTTTCCAAGTATTTTAAAGTGTTACTAACCCCAGGACCCTGCATCCACTATATCTGGTCTACCACAATACACAGAACATGGAAGTGCAATATTTTCAGTAAATATAAACTGCTAAATACCTTTTCTCATCAGGAGTTAGAGCAGTATTGTGACTTCTATCAGTGTTCAGCAAAGCACTGGTTAAAGCTTGTAGGAGAAGTTTTCTTTCTGCTCTAGGAGGATACAGCACCCCTGACCTCTGTCTAGGCAGTGCTGATTGGTCCAGTGCTGATCATATGCATGCTCCCAAGAAAAAAAAAAAAAACCTCTCTAGCAATACACACCAAACTGAGCATGTGCATGTGGTCATGGGTTAGTCTTTCTTATCAGGTGGACATCTGAACAAGAGGAGGGGCAGAGAAAACAGGATCAAACTGCCTTTTTACACAATATTATTATTATTATACAGGGTTTATATAGCGCCAACAGTTTGCTCAGCGCTTTACACATGCACGCTCCCAAGAAAAAAAAACCTCTCTAGCGATACACACTAAACTGAGCATGTGCAGAATGGCTATGGTTCAGTCTGTCTTATCAGGAGATAAGACGTGGACATTTGAACAAGAGGAGGAGCAGAGAAGACAGGATCAGATGTCCTTTTTACACACTGCAGAGGATTAACCCCTTAGGTTCCACAGTGAGAATAACAAGCATGCTTTACTGTTGTGGATTCAGTAACACTTTAATAAAACTGAACTTCAGGAAACCTAAACCTCCCTTGTAGTTCACTACTTGTTTTTATCTAGAGGATTTGGAAAAACAGTTTTACTAACTCCATCCCAGGGGTGGACTGACAACTCATGGGGCCCCCGGGCAATAGGGGATCATGGGGCCCCTGTGTCCTTGCCCAAACTCAAAAAAGCCTATGAAAAAGGTACCAGGGGCATTTCATGGGGCCCCCTACTGACCCCGGGCCCTCGGGCAGTGCCCGAGTTTCCAAATGGTCAGTCCGCCCCTGCTCCATCCTCTGCTCTAGCAGGCTCCTCTACCCTGCTAGTCTGCCCCTGTAGCCTGTTCTTCCCTATGCTCTGGTGATCTAATGATGCAGGGACCATAGACCTACAATGGACGTGAGAATACTTAGCAACAGTCCACCATCAGAGCATGGGGGAGCACTGTCTCCTGGGGAGTACAATCTTGGGTTAATCTGGCCATACACTGTTAGTTTTTTTTGTTCAGCCAAGATGCTAACTGAAAAAGACTAACAGATTCCTCCATCCCCACAAACAAGATGGATGGATGTATCCCCTAAACCCCCCACCTCCTGTGTTCTCACAGTGGCATCTGCTGCTGTCAGAATATATTGATCAGTGGTTGCAGCTGATTGGCTAACAATGAACTTCTGTCAAAGGAGAGTGTGTGTGTGTGTGGGGGGGGGGGGGGGGTACACACTGATGGCCCACTGGGCCCATTCCAGCAGGGACAGCTGAATCTCCTTCAGTGTATGACCAGCTATTTTTACTGTCTAAATGACAATAACTAGACATGCGGTTACCCTTGCAGTATGGACACAGCTTCACTACAAGGAAGAATTTTCAGCACTGTACAAATAAAAGACAGCAAAATCACAAAATTAAATAAAAAATACAATACAAAAGTGGTCAAGCATGCAAAGTGATAGCAGCTTCAGAAAAACACCTTCTGTAACCAACCTGCATTAAAAATTATACCTGGCTAGGGGTATCCTAAAGGATATATATAAACCTAAGAACAAAGATATGATATATTGCGGCTTACCAGTCCATAGATGTGATGGCTGCATTAGTTTTCTTTTTCAGGATTTTTTTTTTACATTTAGTTACATTTAAGTAAATTTTCAGCAAGCACAGAAAATACCAGAAATGCAGTGCTCTTGTCACTTCCCTTGAGCTGACCTGAAGCACAAAGTTTTCTTACTTCTGTAAACTAATTCTCCCACCCAGGGGCAGACTGACAACTCATGGGGCCCCCCGGCAATAGGGGATCATGGGGCCCCTGTGTCCTTGCCTAAACAAAAAAAAGCCTATGAAAAAGGTACCAGGGGCATCTCATGGGGCCCCCTATTGACCCCAGGCCCTCGAGCAATGCCCGAGTTTCCAAATGGTCAGTCCGCCCCTGCTCCCACCCCATATAAAGGAGATAAAGACATATTTGCAGCTAGGTCTGTGTGACAACCCTGGCTCCCTCCACAGATACAGTGGAGCAGTGAGCGTGGCCACCTTGTGGCAGAAAGTGTTATGCACAGCATCCCTATGTGAAAATAAAGGTAAAAAATACCTAAAAAAGAAAACCAGCCACCTCATACAAGCATGGTCCCCACTGTCACTGTCAGTAAAAAAAAACGTCTGTTCAGCCAATGGCGCTAGAGTGAAATCATACAGATGGGAAGTGCCTGAAAGAAGCTGCAGAGATCAGCAGCACTAATATGCAAAAAATGGATGACAAAAGGCAAAATCAGTATTTTATGGAAAACAAATTATAAAACACATGTTTATGATGCCCAATGCTTTGACAAGCTAAATATCATCCAGTTAGGCTTCTGATTTACTTTTAAACAGGTATTAGACCCAAAAACATTTTAAGATGCAGTTTACCAATTCTTGGATGTGATGGCTACAATTATTTTATTTTTTTTCCACTTTATTCTCACCTATACGTATTTCAGTCCATGTATGGGCACTGTATTTGTACAGAATTCATCTACCGATCAACTTTTATCCAACCACCCGGTTGGATTTTTCTGCTCGATCAGTGCAGCAAGCAGTAGCCTGCAACATGTTCAGTACAGTTGCAAGAAAAAGTATGTGAACTACTTGGGATTACGTGGAGTTTTGCATGAATTGGGCATAAAATGTGCTCTGAACATCATCTAAGTTACAACAATAGAAAAAACACAGTCTGCTGAACATAATACTACACAAACATTAGATGTTGCCATGGTTTAATTGCACATAACATGTAAACATTTCACAGTGCAGGGAGGAAAAGTATGTGAGGCCTAGCTTAATGACTTCTCCCAGAGCTAATTGGAGCCAGGAGTGAGCCAACCTTGACTCCAATCAGTGTGATGATATTGGATGTGTTGCTCACAGCTGTCCTGCCCTTAAAAAAACACACACCTGTTTTGGGTTTACTGGTTTCAAGAAGCACTGTCTGATGTGAACCATGCCTCGCAGAAAAGAGCTCTCAGAAGACCTACGATCAAGAATTGCTGACTTGCATGAAGCTGGAAAGGGTTACAAAAGTATCTCCAAAAGCCTTGATGTTCATGTGTCCACGGTAAGACAGACTGTCTACAATGGAGAAAGTTTAGCACTGTGCTACTCTCCCTAGGCGTGGTCGTCCTGTAAAAATGACTGCAAGAGCACAGCGCAGAATGCTGCATGAGGTATAAAGAGAATCCCAGAGTGTCAGCTAAAGACCTACAGAAATCTCTGGCACATGCTAACATTTTTGTTGACACATCTACAATAAGGAAAACATTAAACAAGAATGGAGTACATGGGAGGACACCACAGAGGAAGCCATTACTGTCCAAAAGAATATTGCAGCACGTTTGAAGTTTGCAAAAGACACCTGGATGTTCCACAGCACTACTGGCATAAATATACTGTGGAACAGATGAAACCAAGATTGAGTTGTTTGGGAAGAACACACAACACTATGTGTGGAGAAAAAAAGGCACAGACACCAACATCAAAACCTCATCCCCACTGTAAAACATGGCGGAGGGAGCATCATGGTTTGGGGCTGCTTTGCTGCCTCAGGGCCTGGACGGATTGTTGTCATTGATGGGAAAATGAATTACAGAGTTTATCAAGACATTTTGCAGGAAAATGTACGACCATCTGTCCGCCAACTGAAGCTCCGCAGAGGATGGGTGATGCAACAGGACAATGACCAAAGCATACAAGTAATTCAACAAAACAATGGCTGCAACAGCACAGAATACGCCTTCTGGAGTGGCCCAGTCAGAGTCCTGACCTCAACCCGATTGAAATGATGTGGCATGACCTTAAGAGAGCGATTCACACCAGACATCCCAAGAATATTGCTACACTGAAACAGTTTTGTGAAGAGGAGTGGTCCAAAATTACTCCAGATCGTTGTGCAGGTCTGATCTGCAACTACAGGAAACGTTTGGTTGAGGTTATTGCTGCCAAAGGAGGGTCAACCAGTTATTAAATCCAAAGGTTTGCATACTTTTTCCTCCTGCACTGTGAATGTTTACATGTTATGTGCAATTAAACCATGGCAACATCTAATGTTTGTGTAGTATTATGTTCAGCAGACTGTGTTCTTCTATTGTTGTGACTTAGATGACGTTCAGAGCACATTTTATGCCCAATTCATGCAAAACTTCACGTAATCCCAAGGGGTTCACATACTTTTTCTTGCAACTGTATATTCTGACAGCAGGGAAGCCTCCCTGCTGTCAGAATACAGTGTCGCAATGGGGAGGATTCCCCTATCCAATTCAAATGTGTGGATAGATTAAAGTTTTTTTTTTTCTTAAACCTGATGGATGAATTAAAAAAATTGACTGAGCCAGGTTCACACTAGTGCGGGCCGTGTGGCCTGCATCTGCATGGGCACTGCAGCCCATTAAATGTAATAGGCTGCTGTGCCCGCATTTCACGCAAGGAAAAGGTGTATACACCTTTTGCAAAACAAATCCTCACGTAAACCGCATGTTCTTTTTGATCCTGCATCTTAGATGTGGTGGCTGCGGGATGAGATGTGTGGGGGTGCTATTCAGATTGAATGGTACCCCCCTGCGTCTCGCAAGAGAAACGCAATGTGGCTGTGGGTGGTTGCAGGAGGGGAAACAGGTGCAATTCCTGCACCCGCAACCAGCTTGCAGCTGTGGAACTAGTGTGAACCAAGGGTCATCAATGGGCTGCCTTTGTCTCTTACCCTTAAAACTGTCTTTAACAGACCATGTTGTCCAACAAATGTGGCAGTTAGAGGGTTTAGACAAACCATTTACCACTGAAAGGGGTACTTACAAAGGTCAGTTCTTATTCATATAGTTTAAACATTTATCCCAAAGGAAGAAAAAGTTTCTGTAACTGCTTTAAAAAGTGTTAATTGTTTAGCTAAGCCCACCTAAATCTGCTAGTGCTTCTAAAGTTGGCCATAAATTGACTGAATTTGGCTAGTTCAGTAGGGACTGGCCAAGTTTTGATCAGTGTGTGGAACTCCCCACTTGACGGAAGTTGCATTTGTAGGTACCATATGCATCTAAAAACGTGCTTTTAAATGCATATACTGAAAAATATATTGTGTTTCAATGAGCCTAGTTTATACCATTGCCGTGTTTTTTTAAAAAAAAAAAAATAGTACAAGCTTCATTTTTTGCATTAAACGTACCAGAATACACATGCAAATGTATGCAAATGCAAATCAGTAAGGGCTGGTTCACACCTGATACAGTGGGACTGAATTGGGCAGCTATTCCAGCACAGTCACTGCACTGTAGTGCATCACTGCATGCAGTACTTTTTTTTCAGTGCAGCGCACTGCTTGGCTGGCAAGTAAGCTTTATGAGATGTCTGTGTTAAAAAAAAAAAAATAAACTGCGCTTATCTCAGCTGGATCATGGTGTGAATCAGCCCTAAAACAAAATCAATGCCAAAAAAGCAATAAAAGTGCATTGCAAATGCATTACAAATGCATGTAAACGTACAAGCAGAAATGAATGCTGACTGCAGGGATTGCAGTGTTAACAAACCCTAAAAAGAAAAACTATTGTAGCCATCACATCTATGGATTGGTAAACTGCAATATATTACATTTTTGTTTTAAGGTTTTACAATGTAAAAGTAAAAAATAATAAATAAATAATAATAATAATGTAATATTAATAATGTAATCCTGTAATAATGTAGTATTAATAATAATGTAATCTTGTAATAATAACATAATAACCAGTTTACGACTGCCAGTACACAACATACAGTGGACAGGGGGCCACTGTAGGCAAAGCGATGTACGGTGCATCGCTGCCTATATCTGGGTTTCGGGTTCATACAGCGACTCCCCCGCACCAGCACCTGTGATTGTACACAGCTGGAGCATGTCAGCATGGCCAATGATTCATGGCTGGGACCTGCTGATCGGCTGTGTACAATTGCAGACCAGAGCTCTGTGCTGGTAAACAACACATAGCTCTGTACAGAGGGATGATCTGTCAGTTTCTCATCCCTGCAAGCTGGGAGATCAGCTAGCAAATGTAGAACATAATAAACACCACACAGTTAAGCTCACATTTAACCCCTTGATTGCCCTAGATGTTAACCCCTTACCGGCCAATGTCATTAGTACAGTGACAGTGTATGGTATTATCACTGACCACTGTATTAATGTCAGTGGCAGTTACTGTCAGACTGATCACTGGCATTAGTATTGTAAAAAAAAAAAAACACTCCAGTTTATATACCATAGTTTGTATTGCGCTAAAAAACTTTCAAGCAAACCAATAAATATACACCCTACTGGCTTTTTTTTTTTTTTTTTATCAAAGATGTGTAGCAGAATAAATTTTCACCAAAATTTATGAAAATATTTTCTTATTGGACATGTTTTATAGCACAAAGTAAAAAAAAATTTATTCAAAATCTTTGCTCTTATTTCGTTTCTATCGCAAAAAAAAACCCAGTGGTGTTAAAAAATACCACAAAAGAAAGCATTATTTTTGTGAAAAAAAAAGATAGAAATTTTGCTTGGGTACAGCATTGCATGACAGCGCAAATTACCAATTAAAATAGTGCAGTGCGGGGTATAGCAAAAAATGGCCTGGGCATGAAGAGGGTAAAAATCTTCTGGAGCCGGAGAGGATACTACTACTACTAATAAAAATAATAATAACGACAATAATATGCAGTAATAATAATAATAGTAAAACATAATTGTAATTATATTATTATGTTCCCGGCCTTCCGTCCCCTACACTCCACCGAAATGCCTTAAGAATGCGCATACGATATTGAACGCGCCAAAGCTAATGGACACTATTCAGTGCTCCTACTCCCTTGACCTCTCTGCGGCCTTTCGGACACAGTCGACCTCAACGCCTCCTCCTCAATAAAAACTATCACTTCCCTCGGCCTCAGTGATTCTGCTTCCTGGATCTCATCCTACTCCTGTCAACGCTCTTTCAGCGTTTACCTATAGTGCTTCCACCTCCCACTCACTCCCCCTCTCTGTTGTCGGTCCCTCAAGGCTTCCTCGGGGCCTCCTTCTCTGTCTCATCGATTGAACCTCAACT